AGGGACAATGTTGTCTCAGTCGGCTTTCTATTTCATTCCTCCAACAGCGACCCTCCATCGCAGCGAGGTAGCAGAAATCTAAAGACAGTTAAACATACGTGCATTATACATACATGCCTCATGAATGTGTGGATGATACAGCATGTGTACGTACGTAAGTGTATATGTTTGCAACTATTTGTACTCGTATGTATGGGTATACGTGCTTCGTTTTTGTTTGATGTGAGTGTGTGTGGTTTGTTTGTGGAACAATTTTCAAAAACAGTTTCAAATCTACACGTCATAATTTCATCCATTTCACTTCGGTTGATTTTTTTCACTTTGAAGTATTTTGACGTTCTTTGAGGAAAAGTAATTTTTGTTAGGTGTTTTTTTTTAATTTTAGATTTTCTTTCGTTTTTCTGATTTCTCAATGTTTATTTTCATTATGGTTTTAAATATTTAGGTTGACAGGGGTCTGCATATGTAATTTTCCTTAATTTTTCATTAATGGCCTTCGTCCGGCCCGCGACCCGTCATTATAACACGATCCGGCCCGCGGGGTCGAATGAGTTGCTGACCCCTGATGTAGGTGGGGAGTATGCTACATATACTTAACTTTTGATTAGGAAAGGCGTGATTAAGGAAAGCAAAGACGCTGGAGGTTACTATCCAATGTGGCGTGCACAATGCAATTTATATTTGACGTAAAATAGCACATAGTATAAAATACAAAACAGAACATAATGATTCAAAAGATAACAATTGAATTTATTAGTGTTGATGTACATGAATATAAGCTGAAGGTTTGAGAGAGTTATGCCTCTTAGATTTGGAAATATTTGTACCTGAGCTCATAAAGATGAAGCAATTATTAAACTGTAGTTTAGAATAATAAAGTTTCTTTAGCATGTAAGGAATTGTGTATTGAATAAAGTTGGTAAGAGTTCAGAAGAGATTTTAGAGTTCGTACTTGCGTGAAATGGTAATGTTCTTTAACGTCTGACCGCAAGGTTAAGACGAGAGTTCTTGAAGGTTACATTTTGGCAGCAAGGATTGAGTGAAGAGAACACGAGGGAGCTTATGCGTATTTTGTTTATATATGGCTGTGTATCACGTGGTAGGCTCAGAAGCTAATGCGCGGGAAAATTATTCCTCGCGTGCCGGCCATTTGATTTGTTGGAATTGACCAATCAGCAAGCTAGTTTTGAGGAGATCAACCAATGAATGCTTGTCGCATGATTTCTATGTACTGTGTGTATGTAATGGTGGTTGTAGGTATTATAATCTATCCACCATATCCTCGTAATCTTCACTTCCTTGTTCCTTCTCTTGTGTTCATATCACACACACTTCCTTCAGTAACCCACGATCTTGATTAGTTCTAGGGTTTTGTATTGAATGACCTTTAGTATAAAAATGTATACTATTGAAATACAATCGGTCAAAATATCTTGCCTTTCTCAATTATGGAAGTGAAAATCACTTCACCCGAAGCAAGGCGATAATGCCACGGAAGACGCAGGTGGCTACTAGGAGTGAAATAGAATGAGAAAACTTTAGAAGGAACCGGAAACACAATCGTAAACAGGAAACAAGGATTTACTGAGTGCGAAATATTCCTTTCTTCATCATACGGAGGACTAAGGAAGAATAATCCTCCCTTCAGATACGGAAGACTGGGGAAAAAGAAAGAAAAGAATTCGCGAACCTATGTGAAATTTTCTTTGGACCAATGAAAACCTTACCTCCACAGAAATTAACCTGAGAAGCTGAGAAGAAGAGGAATTCGCGAGCATATGTGAAATTGTTTTTAGATCAATAAAAACCTTGCCTTCACAGGAATCAGACGTCTAATCAGGAGTCTAAGCGAAATTCCTTTTGATATAAAATGAGGAGAAATTAATGAGAGAAGAATGTCTGAATTCATGGGAAAGGTTTCATTTCAATTTCTTGCTATCAGCATTCAAGTACTCGCTAATGTAAAATTACTCGCCAATTATATTGTCGGCCTCTAACACGCAGGACTTCAAAGAATTTCCTCTCACCAAGCTAAGAAAGCTTGGTATTACAATCTCTCTTCGTTTACTTTTGAACGTATGTGAACCATAGATCCCTTCAATGAGCAACGAACCTTCACCTTAAACATTTTTTAATATTAATATTGTGTCAAACCATTTAATTTGTTGTATGAATATTTCCTCTTCATGACAATACGTTAAAACTACGGACTGTAAATATTCTGATTTATTTTCCTGAAATGAGCTACTGTCGTGTCCACTAAAATATCAAATACAATATTTATAAACCAACCAGACTCAAGAAAACACATCTTAAAACACACCAATAAAATTACCGAATAAAAATCAGAATGTTTGTTTGTCAACGCTATCGCTTTTCGCATGAAGTCGTGAAGATCATAAGCGAGAGTTGCGTGGAGTTTGGTAACAGTTTAATTTTAGGAATTTCAAACATTTCGCAAATTGTTTTATATTACTTATAAGCAGGACTCCTTGGAGAAATTAAAATAATTAAATCATCAAATTTCTTTTCACAACTATCGTTAACTTTTTAAAAATCTGCTCCAAATCGTAAAATAAAAACTGCAATAAAACTATCTAATTATCGAATTAGATGGGCTTTTATAATTAAGGACATTATTATCTGAAGAAAAAATTTTTCGATGAACAAAGAATTTTTACAAGAATTTTTCTTTTATTTTTTTTTTTTCATTTTTTTTTTTTTTAAATTTTAAAAGGTGTTTTAAAAATTCTTCCAGGCAGAGAATGCGGTATGTTATTAAGTTTTTAAGTGAAGACTATATTTAATAAGCGAAAATTAAAAGCTTAATACAAATCATGCAACCGAAACTTTTTACCATAATTAAAGATATTTTTTTTTTTTACGTCAAAATGTTATTTTTTTATTTTTAGTATTATATCTTGTAAGTGACAATCAGAGAAACTAAAATCTTATTTTTCTCGAGCCTACTCTCGGGAAAAAAATTTCTTATAAAAACTCAGATTTCGACTTTCATAGAGCAAAGATACTGTTTCTTCAAGCCAAACACAAGGGAAAACGTGGCTGCATAGTTTTTCTTTTCCCTTCGTTAGCATGCACTGAAAGAAACAGGTGTCGGTAATTTCAAACGAATGATTTCCATCAACAAAGACGGTCAATGAATCTTCGTTAACGACCCAAAGACTAACTCAACAAAAGACTATTTTCGCTCTGTTTTGACTCTTGAATTCATGTACATATGTTTATAAATATAAATTATTTAACAGGCATGAAACCATGTTTTCTTGATTTTTATGTTTGGAATTCGAACGTTCAGATTTTTAATATAAATAATCTGTTCGAGAGAATTTCCAGCAAAGTCATAAGTAAATTCCGTTTGGGGGGGTCATTTGAAATGAGAAATGTATTAGGCGAACTTCAGATCAAATGCGGCAGTGAAGAAGAAATTTAGAATAGCCTTTTTTTTTCTTCATTTTTTGCAAAGTATTGTCATCATACACAGTGGATTAATGTATAATTTTCTTAATTTCAAAAATTGAGGATATTAAAATAATATTATGGAAGTTCAAGCAAGAGAATAAAGCTTTCGAAACAATCTGGGTCTTTTATAGTCAAGGAATCACATACCTGAACAGCAAGTATGAAATTGGTGTGCAAAGTTTTGTACAGACAAAACGTTGATGGAAGATATACCCAGACAGAAATTTTCATTTAACTTTGGAGATGAAACTCTAAGTCGTTAGGGGAAAGTAATTCGTAGCAGTGTATTCGGGAATTAGCAAAGATGTTAAATACCTAACAATCTATAACATACGCTGACACTTTGAAAAGATAGGGAATGTCAGTATGCTAAGTGTTTGAGTTTCGCCACCCTTGCAAAAAGAACAATGTGAGTCATTGATAAATGAAAACGATAATTATTTATGACTCAACCTTTTTCTTTTATTGGCAACAACACACAGTAAAGTTAGGCTGGTGCCATTTTTGCAATTTAATCAGTTTCTTTACATTCCAATAGAATTATCAAGAAAAATCCAGAATTTGCTGTAAAAAAATAAGGTAACATTACTTATGATTACTTTTTTTAGATTTTATTATCCGTGATTTTAAGCCCATATTTTAGAAACGTGTGCAAGGACACACACACACAAACATATATAAAGCAACTCGAAATTTTATGCTCTGGAGAAAATTCCCAGTTATTTTATCGTTTTAATTTTTCAATAAATCCAACATAAATTTCGCTTTGTTAGTCAAAATTACGAAGGACTTCAAGGACTTGCTCACCAGCCAAGAGACACCCCTCAAGCGTCCATCAAAACATGCTGAATAGAGGGGAAAAGCCCCTAGACAGAATGCTCTCATGATCGCGAGAAGAAAAACGGGTCTCTTGCACACAACCTACATCCACCTCGAGACGCTGAAGGTGAGACTCCGACCTCAGGCCTCGGACATTCAAAGTAGCTAACCAGAGAAACATCAAACCGATTAGGGTTGCTTACCTGAATTAAACATGGATGGGGTCAGGATACCGACAGCCACCCCCATCGACCCGTGACCCATCTCAGTCTTGATGGTGCCGTCTTGGGAGAGACCGCCTATATCCCACGGGAAAGTCAACTTTAGTGCTCTGTAGAGGGAGGGGTGACCAAAATCAGGAACCCTCCCAGCACAAAATTGTTTCATTTTTTTAAGTTTGTCGTTCTGAACGATAGCAATAGGCGATAGTGTCATCTTAAACGAGGCTATTGCCTCGTCCAGCATGGCCCACGCCTGTTTAGCCCCCGTCCCAGTTCTTATAACAGTTAGGACTCTTTCTGCTGTAGGAAAGTTTTTCGGTTCTTCAATATCTTTATCAGCAAAATTTTTCATTGACAAAAGGTATTTTAAATCCTTAATGCGGTTTGCGTAATCTCACGCTTTTTCTGTCTGGACAGGGGATATGTGGCAAACATCTACACCAGGGTTGAAGATGTGCTTCTGTCTCTTCCTTTTTTCATTTAAGTTCTGTGTTGGCCTTCGGAGTCTTTTGTTTTGGGGGGGGGGCATTTCAGGAGTTTTCGTGGGAGAAGAACTGGGGGTGTGGCAAGGCGAATATGTTTGTCTGAAGGGACTGCGGTTGAGGGATGGGAAAAACATGTGGAAGGAGTGGCCTTTTGGACAGGAAAGGACTTCTCTCTACTAAGAGGGGTTGAGAGGTGGGAAGAATGTGATGGGTCAGAGTGTGTGGAGTGGGTGGCCTTCTTTGTAGAGGACCATCTTGAGCTGACTGGAGGTAGAGGGTTTGAAAGACTTTGCTGAATGTGAGTCAGTGGATGAGGTCGGAGTAGCTTTCTTAATGGGAGACGATTTTGAATGGCGTTGGACGTCTAATTTTTTCTTAAGTATTTTGATTTTTTCGTTCTTTTCAAAACCAGAATCATATTTCTTTTGTAGATCTTGTAGGGTCTGTTTAGAGGCCGTGGGTCGCTCTTACTGTTGACAGATCGAGTGGGACTGTTAGTGTCTTTCGTCCCAGGGGCTTAAGGGGACTAAGGACCCACTGTCTGGTGCTTCCCTCTGGCTCTGCCAGCAACCTGCCATTCCCCCCTCTCCTTCACTTTTTCCTCTTGAGATAACAAATGCAATTGTTAAAGCTGTTCACTCATCAAAGTAGTTTTAAGTCTAAATCCCAAATGCATTGAGCAATATCTTTTGACATGTATTGCTAATGTTTTTTATGGCTACAATTATTCATCAATGCAAACCTGAAGATGGGTTTCCCTCAAGGTTAGAGAATTCCTTCATCCTATTTCGCCATACTTTCATCTTTTCATTCAAATTTGAATCTAGCTCCAAAATCCCTATATATTTATATCCCAATTTTCTCAAGAGGTACAACAATCATTATTTTTATTCTGCATTTATCAAGGAATTTAGTCTGTTTTTTTTTTCTTATTCACCATATGACACAGCCTATTGAAGATTTTTTTTTTAACTTGAAAACACGTCAAATCTGATTAGATTTTGCCTTCTGTACAGAGTTAAGCATTCCTTTCACAAGCCTTGTGCTCAAACTTTGTACTAAAAATATTTACAATATTTACAATTAGGCAGAAAAAAAGATGGAAACTATTCCCAAAGGGTAAATAGGGTTTTATTTTTGTTTTTAAGTAAATTCCCCTTCTTCAAAAGCAAGCAACTTTTTTCACATATCAAAATTAATATTTTCACATAAAAAAAAAAAATTAAGATTTTATCTTCTTAAACTCAAAGCACATTGAATATTAATTGCCAATTCAACAAAAGACAAAACTGAAAATGTAAGTTTATTGAAATAACAATTAAATCTCTAGAAAATAATGTCATTTATATTTTAATTAGTCTTTTTTATGTATTTTTCTTTTCTCAATAATGGGGGTCATTGACATTTATCATGATTCTAATTCAAAGTGAGATGGATCGATATTAAGAATGTGTTTGCACAATGTTGAAATTAACAATTTTTTATTTAAGACCTTTTAAGACTGCCATCAGCAGACTTCAGAAACTTCCATTTGATTTTTCTTGCAAAAGCAATGATTGTAAATGAATTTCATTAGAAACGGTAACGCCAGAAATCCAAAGTACCCTCCATAGACAACAAACTGAAAGATAAAGAAAAACAAATGTTGTAAAGTGTGAAAGACTTGAAAATTTATCAAGAAATTTATTAAACTTAACAGAGTTCAATTCTCTCTTCCAATATTCTATCATAATGTACCAAGGTTGCCTTTAGAGATTATCAGAGAAATCTTTCTGCCTGGCAAGCAATCTCATCATATAAAGTAATAGGCATGAGATTGATGCTAACAAAAATAACAAAGTCAGTCAGAATTTATTTCCCTTTAAAATATTTAAAAATATTACAATTGAAGAATTATGATATTTGATAACACAGTTTTAAAAGACTTCTTTTTATTTGAAAAAATAAAAAAAAATCAAATAAATACTACACTATTTACATTATTCGGACTATTGTCCTCATCTTTGTTGCCATATTTATCACAACGTTTCTGCCTTTGTATGCTCCAGCCTTCTTCAGGTGATTGGAATGTCGAACTGAACCCTTTTATTCCATTCACTGGGATAGACTGTTCTAGTTCCACATGCCATGTTTAATGGATGTCAGTTATCAGTTATCTCCTGTTAATTCCCCTCACCAAGTTCTCCACCACCTTAACCTGGTATTAAACTCACACTCCTTAGGTCCTGTCACTGGATCTAACTAACACCTTTATCCACTGTGCCATGTGACCCTTGAGGACATCCGTGTATGAGTTTCTGGGTATTATAAACCTAATGTCAGCAACCGTTTTTATCAGAGCTCATATTCCTATTTTTGCTTTTATTATTGCTTTTTCTAGCACTTCTTATTACTGGTTCTCATATTGTACTCATTTCTATGCTTGGCCAGCTCAGGAGATTTTTGTGGCCTAGAATATGTGCTGATTACAAATATGGTTAGCCATGCCTGATTTTTCCACTTCCCCTCGTGTTACAGCTTTTTGATGTTCTTGAAGCCTTACCTTAAGGGGGTGGCCTATCTCCCCTTTATATTTCTTTTTGCAGCTGCATGGGATAGAGTACACACAGTCTTCAGTCATGTTCTCCTCTATGGGAGGTCTTACTCAGAAGAGATATCTGTGAAGTGTCATCCAGCTTTTGAAGGTTGTCCTGATGTTATATGGACCACAGATCCTTTGTATTTTCTCTGATAACCCCTTCACATAGGGCAGGCAGAGTGTTTTCTGAGTGTTCTTATTCTCCTCTTGTACCCGTCTATCTTTGGGTACATGGTAGCAGCCCCAATAAACTGGGATAGATATTTATCAATAAATATGTTGTCTCATGTCACTATATTATCCTAGCAGTTCAAGGCAACATAACAACCAAGCAAAAAGAAAAAAAAAACAATAGTATGTGAATGATAAAAGAAATATGAAGTTGTCCAGAAGTGTCCAGACACCAGCTGTCTGAGTAACAGAGTGTGCTGATGGGAAGAAATGCTGGTGCAATGCCAACAACCCAAATGTTTTAAATGAAAGACAATTTTCAGCTGACATAAACGTTTTATGTAACAAAGTTAACAAGTTGAAATCAAAATACTCACCTGTGTTCTAACATCAAGATTAAGTCCGTGTTTATCAACAACAATCACAGTCATAATTGTTTCAAGTATCAAGGCCAGAAAGGTATTAAGACCAAAAACCAAACCATAACATCGACTACTCAGATGAACGGCAACTTGATAACTACAATGCAAAACAGTACACTTTAAAAATATTCGTTAACTTTGCCAATGGCAATAGCAAATCATTATATATAATATTATTATTATTACTAGTGATAACAGTATTAAATGAGGTAAAACTATACCTCCTTTAATTAATCCAGACTGTCATCTAATAACCACAGTTCTCTTATGGAATGGGCTTACGCTACATCATGTTGATCCTGGTCAACACCTAGATGTGTGACCACTGGAGAGTACCAGGTGCTGTAAGTGTGGATGTGTGATTTGTGTAATGGATAATGACTGAGAATTGTTAATTGGAGAGCTAAGTTCCAATTCCCATTGCATCCATTATATTCCCTCACATGCAAATAAACCTGGGAAAGGTATGAATCCAATTTTCTCCCTAACCCCCGGCTATGGGTTAATTAGCAAGATTTGTATCAGTAAAAGCATTATTATCAAAATCATTATTATCAAAAAAAAATAATAATAATAATAATAATTATTATTATAATCTAAAACTATTTAAATGCTCTGAATAGTGTTGATAAACCATAAAAAATGAATTGATCAATCAGCCTTATCAAATGCTATTGTTTACACCAGGCAAATAAAGGCAACTCACATTGTACTCATTATATTATTAAATCACATCTAGATCATGGCACAGCAAATAAAAGGTTTCAAATCAAAAAATTTGAACCCCCAAATGGATATCAGGTTTCCTATTCATTGTTTATATTGGATTTGTGTAATGACTTGATATTGTTTCAGAATTGCATTAGAAATTATTAGAGAAAGTAATCATAGCTATTTCGACTAAGCTCAAGAAAGGCTTTTTGTTTATCTTTTCTTTAACTGGATATTGACCCTACTCAATGGTAGATTGAACACCCTAAGTCAGACAATGGGATATTTTCATTTTTGTTTTTTTTTAAATGCCATGACACTTCAAAACATAAGCAATCATGGTTCTCCACGATTTCTTTTTGTTTATTATCTGCTGCCATATTTTCTTGGGAAAGATAGTGGAATGCTTTCCCTGTTACCTTTTCCATAATTTTGAATTCAGAGTAATCTTTCTGTATCCAAGGTTAGAGAGCCCAATCGTTTCTGCTATTTAAATCATAGTTGGGGGGGGGGTCCCAAAAGTATGTGTGTAAAATTAATGTTATAGACTTGTTCAGAATTTAAACACAGCCCAATATTTCCACTTGCTTACAATGCTGATAACCATTAATCTACCCACTATAATGAATGCATTTTACAATTTCTCAATGTATCAGATTTGTTTGGGTGGCATAAGTAGCAGTATCAGCTGTCAACACAAAATGAAAGGCACAAGCAGAAGCTAGTCTCACCTGTTTAGTATTACTAATCTATTATAGGACCATTCTCAAATATTGTTTAGTCATTCGATTAGCAATGTGAGTCTTCCACACAGTAATCAATTTTTTTATTAGATCAATACTTCATATCAAATCTCTTGTTCAGAGGCCTTGCTACTGGATGTAGTTATCATCATAGCCCTCACACACATTTTATATACATATGTGTGTGTGTGTGTGTGTGTGTGTATTTAGGTAGCAACTGTTCTTTAAGGTAAATGTTATAAAAGGCAACAAACATTTTGGGTCAATTAATTTAATTGACCGACTTTTCCAATTTATGAATATTTCATCTCAGATAAGAAGGAAATTAAGTCAGAAATTGTCCAACAGTAAAGACAAACTTATGATCCTCGAAGCAATACTCGTTCAATGAAAAAAGCAATTATAATTTAAGAGCCTGCATCATTAAATGTATATAAAATAAATATAGATAAACACACACACACACATCACCTGCATCATAATACTCTTTAATCATATCACTACACTCACTTGTTCTAGAAAACTCAACATTTGTCTACCTACTCTGATGATGACTTAAGACAAAAGCTTGGATCAGATTTCATCCAAAATGAACTTTGAACAATTTCTGATAGAATTTCTTTACTAGAGAAGGATTATTCATAATTTGGAAAAGTCAATCAATAAAATTAATCAATATAAAATATCTATTGTGTTTAATAAAATTGGCCTTAAATATACATTCTTTTCCTTTCCCTTTCATTGAGGGAAAAATGTATCTGTATTATTAATATATAAATTATAGCACCGTTATTTTACATTGAGTGCTGGTGCTGATAAAATAGTGTTCAATGTGCAATATTATATATATATATATTTGGTAATTGGTAGGGATAATTCCAAGGAGGACATTAATTCAAAGATAGCTCAATGTCAGTAAGAAATATTTAGATTTCTAAAAAGCCTTCAGTCTGAAGAGAAATATTTAAATATATTCATGAAATAAAATGTAACTGAGATGAGTTTTTAAGGATTTCCTTGACTTATTATTATTTATATATAGTGGTGACAGGGAAACAAATATTCATACACATACAAATTTTTAATTTATTATTTACAACTAATGAATAAACAATTTTCATATAATTAACTGTACACAGATACATAATAACTAAATATGGATAGAAAACAGAAAAAAAATTTGATTTAATAGAAATAAATCCCATTTATTCATTTTAATAGGTGACAAAAGTATTCATACAATGCAAATTTCAGATTTTAAAACTTAAATTACTTTAGTACTCTAGATTATTCAAGTGGAATATTCTAGAATGTCTCAATAATGTTATCAGTGGTTATTTTTAGCTTAAAAAACACAAACAGAATATTAGGTAACTGATATTTGTGCAAGGTCATCATCATAGCAAGAGGTAAAGAAATGACAAATTCACAAAAAGAACTGATTGTTAAGCTCTGGAAAGAAGGCAAATGTTACAGGAAAATTTTAGACAACCTGAATATGCCATTTACTACCATTAGTTCAGTCAGTGCAAGATATAAAAAACTCAAAATTGTTGAAAACCAATAAAAAGGACAGGTAATCCACAGAAAATTTAAGATCTTTGAGGAAATTAATGTGTCAAATTAAACAAAATCCAGTGGTTACTCATCAAGTGTTGCAGGATGATTTGCTTTCATCAGGAATCTGTGTCATTAAATGGACAATAAGCAATAAAATTCAGAGAAACAATCTAAAGTTATGCTTCACTCCTATTGAAAAGGACAGAGATGTCAGGTTAAAATTCATTCATATAAGTATAGGAAAAATCATACTGAGAAAAGTATTATGGACAGTCGAAACCAAAATTGATTTGTTTGGATGTAATTCTAGAAATCATGTATGGAGGAAAGATGGCGATGCCTTCAAATAAAAGAACACAGTTCAACAGTGAAATTTGGTGGTGGCAGCATCATGGCTTTGGGATGTTTTTCTGCAAAAGGTACTGGCAACATATCAGTAATAGATGGTAGAATGAATGCTGCAGCATATCAAAATATTTGGGAAGTAAATTTAATGATTCCTGATTGTAGCTTCCAACAAGATAATGATCCTAAGCACACTGCAAAATCTATGAAGAAATGACTTGCTAAAAATAATGTAAATATCCTGAAATGGACGAATCAGTCCCCAGATTTAAACCCAATCGAGAATCTGTGGCGTTATTTGAAATTCAAATCCAGTAGAGAGCTCCAACAAACTTCCCAGATTTGAAGACCATATGCAAAGAAGAATGGAACAAAATACCAAATAAAATTTGCAAATCATTAATTGAGAACTACAAGAAGAGGTTGGTTGCTGTAGAAGTGAATAATGGTTATTCTACAAAGTATTAAATGAAGATTATGTATTCTTTTTTATATTATACAAATACTTTTTTCATTCATTAAAATGGATAAACGGAACTTCTATTAAATCAATTTTTTTTTCTGTTTTCTATGCATATTTAGTTATTATGAATCTGTGTACAATTAATCATATGGAAGGTATGTTTATTCATTAGTTGGAAATACAATAAATTAAAAATTTGTATGTGTACGAATATTTATTTCCCCACCCCACTGTAAATATATATTACATATCACCAAAACCTTCCTAAAAAGAGCATACCATGATGAAAAAAAGGTCCAAATTTGATAAAAACAAAGCTTTATCATCAAAATGCTTATATTGTCATAAAGAGAAAAGACCAAAGTATTTTTTGATTATTTTAATAAATTTTTTTTTTAATCCTTTCTAGCACATTCAAAATTTTGGCTAAAAATCTTGCTTTCTTTACATCAGTGGATGAGCCAAAGATTAGTATTACAAATTTAGCATTTTTGTGGTAAAAATACATTGAATTGTAAATTCTTGCAAAAATCAATAATTGTCAGATTTTAATTAAATTTTCAGGACTTATTCACAAATGAATGCAATTATTTTTTAAATTGTTTTTTAAAAAATTTTGTTAAAAATATATTTTTTTTTTTCACATCTGTTACTAACATAATTTTATGAAATTTCAAGAAATTAAAATTCCAACCTCTTCATATTTATTTAAATTTCAGGCTCTTCATATTTAAATTTCAGCTTCTTCATATTTAATTTGTATTAGTTAAAAGCAGGACTCATTGGAAAATTTAAATCATGAATTTTGTTTTTTTGTTTTTTGTCAAGCAGAGACACCATTTACCAAAAATCTGCTCTGAGCCATAAAATAAAAAATGCAATAAAACTATGATATTATTTAATTAGAAAAGCTTTTAGTTGCTTTTATAAATAATATTTCCTTTTCTTATAACTTTTAATTAGAAAAATTTTTTAAATCTTAAAATTCTGTATTAATTTCAGCCTTTTAGATGGTATTATTGAGTAAAAAGTATATTTACTAATCATAAATGGAAAAGCTTAATACAAATCATCAAACATCAATATTTTTAAAAGAATTTTGAATTTTTCATATGTGTATAAATGTGCTAATTTTTGTAAGTATGGGCAACCATTATGAGAAAGTATAAGTGACAATTATAGTAAATTTAAAGACAAATTTTTAAAATTCAATAAAATATTAGATTACAGAGAATATTTTCCTAAATTTGTAAGACTACTGAGTACTTAAAAATTATATAAAAAAAGACGCTCATGTCATTTTCTTCAATTATGTTTTACAGATGAAGTCTCCATAGAACAACAGTAGATCAGTCATTATGCTGTCAGCATGTCAACTCAGCTACTCTTGGGTTAAAAAATATATTTCTTCGATATTTTAAACTTGAAGTGAATAATATTTGTTTCAAATCAGTTTAATTATACTTTTAATCAGGTAATATTCCTGAAATAAAGTTTCAGAAAAATATATTTTATTTTTGGATGAATTTTTAATAAAGAGAATTACCTCACAATAACAAATGACTAATAAAAGAGGGCTACTCAGCTATTTTAGCAAAACAAAGTAAAAATTCCTTTCAAAATTCCTTTCAGTCAATTAGTTTTTGAAATAAAGTATTTTGCTTATTAAAAATATTACATTTAATCTATTAGGTTGACATTAAAATTAAAATAAAAGATTCATGTAAGATTTTTTTTTCATTTTTAAAAATTCATTTTAAACCTTAGGTATATCATGTTTTTGAGGAACCTATATATATATATATATATATATATATATTATACATACATACATAACTTATATAATGATTATACATGAATAACAAATTCTCTCTTTCTCTCACATTAGCATGGTTAGAAACATAATTGTATTTTTTTGTAAAATTTTGTTTTAGCCACAGAGATTTCTACAACTGGATTCAATTTGGATAAATGTTTCTAACGAAGGTGAAGTGATGTAGAAAGAAAATTTGAGAAATCTATAAAAAACAAAAATATATATTCTTACGTTGCAATGGTAAGAACGGTCTGGAATATAATTCGGATAATTAAATAACACACATAAGCCACCCAAATGTTATCTGTAAAACTCATCCACACCATCAATCCTCCAATGACCATGTTGACAAAGAAGAGCAGCAATTCTCCATATTTGCTCCAATCCACTGTGACAAAACCAATTCCAAATGACGCAGCAGCACCTGCAAGTGACAAGGGGGGGAAAAATCAAAAAAGAAAGAACAAAAAAAGGCTCAATTATTTATTGAATTTTTTAAAAGTTAAGTTGATAATTATGGTTTTCTTTTTACTAAAATTTTATTTCTTGAAGAGATTGGTCAATGCTACAATATCTGAAGAAAGATTTTTTTTTTTTCCTCAGGAGTTAAAAATGCTTAAAGCGTATACATATTTATATCACAAATTTAAGTCATAAATAAACACATAAAAGTTGATGGAGATTAACTTTTGGACATTGATGAATTATTTTTTTCCTCCCTTCTTAAAATTTATAAAATTTTATTTCATGTGTAAATAAGAAAAACAGAAGAATTTGCTTTGTAACCCTTAAATATCTGGTGCCTAGATTTGTCCATCTTCTTCATATATTCATATCTAACCATTTATATAATGAATGATATAACATGGAGAATTTATTAAGCAAATGCATCAAAACTTTCAAATTAAATATCAATTGACACAGAAAATTCTGTTGGGAGAAATAAAAGAAATGAAAAAATAAAAAAAAACTAGCTAAATCTCTATCTTATGAATATTTCTCTTAAATAAGTCTTATCAAAAATAATTATTTATTTATGGTAACTGAATTTTTGGTGATTGCAGTAATCAGTTTCCATTGAACAATACTGTACATCTGAAAAATGGCCCTTTTATTAGTTGTTATCACTTCTCAGCTAAGATCAAAGTGTAATATCTCGTCTTATCAGCTTAATCTGATTTTCTCTCTCTCTCCACTTATATCTTCCTTTCATTCATTTTCTCACTGAAACCAAGTAGTGTCTTTTCCCTCCTTTTCGCACAATCAAAATAGAATAGTACATTATTTATTAGGTATTGGCAGGACGTAATGGGTGTGCAAACTAACAAAGAAAGAAATAAACAAACACAATTATAATAGGATAGTTGTATTTTAGTCGTTATCTGCATTTGAACCAAGTACGCATAGTACAATAGTATACATAGCTAAGATTCCATTTTAAAAAATATTAACTGCCATTGGGTTTACGACTTCAAGTTCTGTATTCATGAATGATAACAGTGAACTTGAGAAATCTAATTTCATGAAAAACTGTTTTATAAAAAAGATGTAAATTTCAACCTACATTTCACCATTTATCATATTAGACACTTGATACATAAGACATTCAAATCTTATATAAATAAATCAGACTTCTATAAAACAATGATTCAATATACTGTATGTAAACATTGTCAAAGATACAAATCAAAATTTATAACATTCATAGAAGCAGAAATATTTAATTGGTGACAAAAAGAATTCAATGTAAAAATAAAAAATATTTTAAGAAAAAAATAATGAATATTTATGTAAAAAAAAAAAAAAAGAAAAACTTAAACATCAATAAAAAAAAAATAATCAGTCAGCCTATTATAGGAAAATGATATATAATTTTTTTGTATATATTACCACCATTATAGGAAAGTCTATAAACAAAAATGGGAACAATTTTTCAGGTATGTGTAATAACATTAATGTAAATATTAGTTCAATGAAATCCTAAAAGACGAAACATGTCAAATGAAATTTTTTTTTTTCCTAAGACTGCATTATGAAACATTGGGAATCCTATGTTGAATCTGAGCATCTTTAAAAAAATAATTTTATGTCTGAAGAAGTTGATTGAGATGTCTTTCTTATAGATAAACATTTTTTCACTATATATAAAAGAAGGTGCTAAAAATTTATCATACTTCCCAAAATCTAATCCATTGGCCTAACTTTTGGGGGAATTTCTTATCTCAGCCCAGAACTTTTCACTATTCGTCATTTTTTCTTTTTAATTCACCACAAGTAAGGCAATAATGCCACAATGACATAAGTGGCTACTGGGTGTAAAAGAGAACAAAAAGACTTTAGAATGGACTGTAAACCCAATCCTAAATAGGCAACAAGAGAAATCTCTATTCTGGTTCAAAAGATCAAAGAGGAGTGTGAACATATCTACACCTATTCAGAAAAAAATAAAATAAAAGAAATAAAAATAGAATATAAAGAAATAAAAATAAAATAGTAAATACAATTATTGAGTTTAGGAGGATAATAATATAAGAAAAACGGGATACAAAAAAAAAGAAAAAAAAATAAAATAAAATAAAATATATATATATATATATATATATATATATATATATATATATATATATATATATATATATATAATGCAATGAAACTATCAAAAATAACATGAATATTAGACACATGATTGTATCTATTTTAACTTGTTCAGCCCATAAAAAAAAAAATAATTTCTAGATCACCCTATCAACTCATGTCTAATTCTTCCTTGTTTCCCTGCCCTCTCAATCTCTCCCTTCCCCCTCTCTCTCTTTCTCCTTCCCCACCCAAAATTTTTTTTTAAAACCTTATATTGAAATTTTTATTTTCTTTCTTCCTCTTTTAATATAAAATTTTTATTTGTATATATTCATGAAATAAATTATAACCAAATAGATTTTTAAGGATCATCTGTAATTATGATTATTATATTGCTCTGTTTATTACATTGAGCTCTCTTTAGATTCATGTCCTCCATGGAATTATCCCTACCAATTGTCAACAGATAGATATATATATATAAGGGAAGAGGTTATAGTAGTTCCAATGAGAGAAAAATGTGTATAATAAAAAGAAGAGAGAAACTGCAAACATTTTTAGTTGTAATGTGGATTTTTGTTTTAAATATATTATGCTTTATATATATATATATATATATATATATATATATATATATAATTAGACATCCAGGCCAATATCCAGTGGTGACAATCTGTTTCATGCTTAAACATAATCATTGGGCCAGGAGCACTGTGTTTTGGCTTGACTAGATATGCTGGTAAGTGGTACATTATTGGTAGATGTATTGTATTCTAATGGTTATTGGGTCAATGGTAACAGTTATATTTCATATTATTCTAGGAGTTACTGAGTGGAAATAATTGTAGATCCAAATGCAGTTTTGTAGCTATTTTATAGTGTTGCTTGCTGTTTTATTAATTACTATTTATTATTATTTTATTATTTCTTGCTGATTGCTATTATTATTTTTACTTATCTTTCTTTGTAGCTTGTTAATTTAATATTTACTTAACTTATTTACTTATTTATTGATAAAGCAAACATTAGTTAGGGAAAGTACCCATCAGCTGAACAAGATGAGAATTTAACATGATTAAAATTATTTCATCTTCAAACCATAACAATATTTAATTAATTTATAAGGTAAAAAAATATTTTCAAATAACTTTTGTTATCTAACAGGCAATTATAGAATGAACTAATAAATTTTCAGTTAGCTGACTTTTGAAAAAAATTACTTTAAATGATTAGATATTTTTAAGCTCTGGCTGAGGTCCTCAAATTTAGAGTTTTTGACTTACTAACAATGGTTTATATCCAAAGTTTTTTAACCATCACACCACAATAATAACTGTTTTAGAATAAAGATTTTCCATGTATCATATATCTGGGTTTTTTTTCTAAAATATGACATATTTGAAGAATTATTTGAACCAGTATCTTTACCTTTATTGTTTGGATCATTTTTGCTGGTCTGCATCTGAACCTTCCTCAAATGTATCTCATATGGTAATCTTAAATTTGCAGCACCAGTTTGGTTACTTCAGAGATGAGATTGTGTAGAAAATTGAAGATGCAGTATACTCCTCATGACAGCTAGAGATCCTGCAGCACAAATCATTGCCATCATAACAAAGATGAGGATGTTTATGTGAATATATCTTTCATTAATGTCAACACTTAATCTCAGGGATTTCATTCTGCAAATCAAGGTTTCCACAACAAATTTAATATTGACCAACAAATTTGGGCCAGATTTTCAGAATATCTTTATATTTATAGGTGCAAAAACTCTTGATCTTCCGATATTATATATGACTCTCTCTGAAGTTATACAAATCACATAAAACTCAATAGCTCAAATATGCTTTGAAAATTTTGTCAAATTTTAAACTACTAATTTAACCATCAAAACAAATCTAAAGCTAATTTCTTAGGTAGTTTCATCATTAAAGTTATTGGATTTATTATAAAAACTGCAGTCTAGAATTATTATACAAATTAGACTAATATTATTTTAAGGCTTAGGAAAACTATTTTTTTTCTATAATATATGTGAAAACATGGGTAATGAAAAAAATCTAAGAATAGAAAAGAAAGTTATTGAGTGAGGGAATACCCACATTGGAAATTTTTGACATTTGGAAAAGTTTTGCATGTTTTCAAAAATTTCTTGGAGAATATAAAAATCAGTTGTTTTTTTTTATTTTCCATGAAGCATATTAGTGTATACACAGATAATGCTTATTAATATTGAGTTATATCAGTTTAGTATTGAGTTAGTAATGAGTTGTATTTGATGTACCAATCTTCCAAGGTGTGCATGATCAACTTGAAAACCAGCATTTGAAATTTTGGGTCATTCACCCATACTAATGAGCTGAGTGCTGCATAAATATTTATCTATTATTTAAACATAAAAATTTAAAACAAATTGAAACATGCATATTCATAAAAATAGTTTCAGATTTTGTATAAGGTTTCTTAACATTCTTTTGTTTTATTATTGACAGTTTACATATTGCAGCCTAAACAAAATGTGATCAATATGTTGAAAAAGTTTAGAGGAGCAAACAACTATAACAGATCCAATCATTGAAACCATCAACATTAAGAGAGTGAAAAGAAATCCATAGAGAAGCACAAGAAAGATGACAAAAGAGCTCAATATTCCAGAAAGGTTGCTAATATTGATTTTGACAGAAGGTTTAGGGTTAAAACCATACAAGGTTCAAGGATGACAGGTGTTCTCAAACAAAAACAGCTTGGTCAAGGGAAGATAATGTTCAAGGAGATGCTGCTTGTTGCAGAGAAAAAAACTTCATTTGATCAGACATGAAGTTTTTCACTGTTAAGGCTGTAGTCAACTAGCAAAATGATAGGGTTTGCACCACTTCACCAAGAAACATTCCCAAAAGATGTCAGAATCAATTTCAAGCAACAGAAACCAACTGGTGTCATGGTTTGGCCTGCTGCTGCTTTTGCTGGTTTAAAAATCAACCTCAAGTGTTCATTGAAGGAGGAATGAAAGTAAATAGAGTTTACCAGTAAATGTTGGAGAAAGATGTGTTGCCCAGGTTGCCAGCCACATATGGAACTCTTGCATACACTGCCAATTTGATGCAGAATTGGTGCAAGAGAGATTCATGTGTATTTTTTGACAAGTCAATTTAGCTTCCATCAAGTCCTGGCATTGATCCAGTCGTCTTTGTGATAGGACTCATATTGGCAAGTAATTTCTCATGTGTGATATTGTGGTACAATTTGAGCAAAGAGGTGGTGAAGAAATTATGCAATTCAGTTGAGAAGAGATTAAGGTCTATGAGGTAAGCAAAGTGCAGAATTGTAAATATGTGTAAAACATTGTCAACAAATATAACAATCAATTTGTAAACTTTCATTAACCAAAACCTAAAACATTTTATGATAAAATGAACATTAGGTCTTTGTGTGTGTGTATATATATCACATAAACACACACAAACACTGCACAAGGAATACAACTCCAACCATCAACGTTAGGTGAATGAACAATAAAGTAGAAAAAAATTATGTGTACCACATTTCTCCTCTAGAAGGACTTCAGACTAAAGTAATATTTTTGTTAGTTTTGTGTGTGGGAGGGAAGGTATATAAAAGGCCAAACATTGGTTAGAATTATGTACCAACGAGAAATGCTGAAGATGTTGAAATGTCAAAATTTTGAATTTACATTTTCTTCATTTTATTTATATTTATATATAAACATACACATACATACATACATTCAACACCATCGCTTGATAAGACACCAGAAGTGTTGAAACAAAATGGCGATTTTTGAAGTGATTTTATAACATACCTATGTTATAATTGTCAAATAAATATATATATTTACACACACACACACACACACATCTGAGTAAGTATTGTAACCAATTTAATTTGGTTTCCTTTTGTTTTCATAACTTTTATTATTAAGTATTCCACATTGCAATAATAGAAGATTTGTCAAGAAAGGTGTACTGTTGGAAGAACCTGGATGTAAACTTATCATGGATGATCTAATTATCAAAGCCAGTCCATTAATATAATTCACTGATAAATCTGGGTCTATGCGTTAAAAATGTCAGTGAATATTCAAAAACTTATTTAAAAAAAAAAAAAAAAAAAATTCAGAATTCAGCGAGATAAGTGTTGTAGTGATGTCCTTTTATACTTTTTATATTTTATTACATTGCATAACAAAGACAAAACCTACAAAATAATAAATAAAAAAATTTAATAAACCATAGCAAGAATGTGTCAGAAAAACAATGAATTGTTAGCTTTTTATATACAGAGAAGTCAGGGGGAAAAAAATCAAGTTTGATCTAAATAAAACTTGAAATTGCTGACTTCACACACACACACGAAAAAGATTATCGGTGAAGGAATCAAATTACAGCAAATGAGGATATGACCTACAAGTGCAGAATACTTTTTCTCTCATCAAAAATAATCACTGTTCTAAGTCTAAAGCCAAAAAAAAAAAAAAAAAAGAAAGCTTCTTTCATTTCATTCAATGACCAACATAAATGCTATCATATACAAAGCTATATATTACTAATAAGAATTCCAATATTATTAGATTCAATTCATGGGACTTGTCATGTTTTGTAATTTTTAAGCAGAATAAAAATTCATATATTTTAATAAATCAAAAAAATTAAGAGGATTAGAAATTTAAAAATATATAAACTTGAGAAAAATTCCTAAATATTCATTTTCAAGAACTTTCAAAAATTAAATTCCTAATAAAAAAATCTTCTGCATTTTTATTTTTTTATACTTGACTAAAACATTTACATTTTGCAAAATCCTGGCCAATAGAAAAATAAAGGTTTTGAGTATACTCTAACTTTCTCAAACATTTAAATCTTTAAATAATTAAGACAGACATATTTTGGCTGCTTTTCTTTTTCTGACATTGGCTGCAAAAAAAAAAAAAAAAAAAAAAAAAATTTACTTATCTTTTACTTAATTTTTTATTTGAAGAATTTTTAACATTATTTTATCCAACATAAATGTAACAAAGAATTATTTTCAAACAAATTTTGTTAAATTAAACTGACAAGGTCTATTATTTAATCTTTTATTAATTTTTTTCCAATTTCTGAATGAAATGTACAGAGAACATCAGAAATACATGCAACATAATATGAAGACATCAGCTAGATGAAGACACCATTTTCACTATTGTCTTAACATTATGTGGGAAGTATTTCTGCCACACACTGTATATAGAAATTGAAATTGTGAATAAACAATAAAGTTCATGTTTCAATCCCAATATACAACACACCATTCAGAAATTGGAAAAAATTATAGAAAAATTAAAATAAACAGACCTTGTCAATTGAATTTAACAAAACTCATTTGGATGGATATTTGCAGCATAAACACACCTTTTTGTAGATTATATATATATGTATATATATATATATATATACACACACATATATATTAAAGCAACATGAGTATAGGTATGAATTGACAATCGCATTTAAGCATGAACTAGACAGTCACTATCTAATGTTAATACTTATGTTTACACTGTTTATATCTAAATATGCCTTGTCCCTGATATTGAGCTCTTTTCTCCCATAAAATTATCTTTTATATTATATATTATTGCATTAGCTGTTCAAACAAGTTTTATGAAATTTTACTAGTAAGGTTTGTCTATTTGACTTTATATTTGACTGTTATATTCAAATAATGAATCAAGGACTGAGTGTTATGTAAGCATGTTTTTACTAAATTCTGGTATATTTGGTTTGCTGGGATTAGAATCAGTTGAAAATGATATCAGAGATAATGGTTAAATAAAAAATATATACACACCTCAATATAGCATGTCTTGTGGAGATAAGACACAAACAAATTAGGTAAAGTACTGGATTAGAAAGATTTTTTTTTTGATTTTTTTTTTAAGAAAAAAATTTTTGGAAGATGATGTTAACATGGAAAATTAATAAAATTAATCAAACTTTCTCATTTGTTAATTAAATACTGATTATTTACAAGCATGTTTTAGGAAGGTAAGAAAGAAAAAAAATTGTAATCATCATCGCATACTAACATATTGCCAAAGAGGTTGCATCTACAGCTGCATTGTAGTTGTAGGCACTGTTATGATCCACACGAATTACTTCATACAGACTTTGGATATAATTACCGAGGTGAATCTTTCCACAGGTTGTTGATGCCCACCAAACAGACCACATAAGTAATTTTCTGTCTTTGTAAGCTGAAAGAAAATCAAGCCACATTCGACACAATCCTTCTCGGATTGAAACTGAATTTGGAACAATTTGTCTTAATTTGTTTTTTGTGAAAAAATGGAAGGAGTCTTTTATCAGAGTCATATGGCTTTTATCAGACATGTCACGAATTTCAGTCCTTTTGGAAAGACTGTCAGTGTTTAAGGTGTGATCCTTGTTGTGATGTGAAATCAGTTTGTTTTCCTGTTCCACAGAGCAAACATCTTCCTCCTTCTCATTTTTTAAGACAGACACAGGCTCTTGAGAATCTGCTGTAGAAGAATTGCAATTTTCCATGTCATCTTTTACAATCATTAACTTCCCTTCACCAGATTCTTTAGAGTAATCTTCAATATTTGAACCTTTTTCCACCATTTCAGAAAGTTCTGTTTCATCTTTGGAAATCATCACTTTTCCCTCATCCGCTTGTTTTGGGCATTGAAATGCTAATGTCTTTGGACAATCTTTATCAGTGTCATTCTCAAAATAAAATGAATTCCTAATACTTGGTAACAACAATGCAATAAAAAAGCAAATGCAGACATTAACAAACGAGATGACGTTCAAGACAAAATAAGTAGCATCAGCAAAAGTAAGCAAAAGTTGAGCAAGCAGAGCAGCCACAAATCTGCCAGCCAATGAACTGGCACGAACAAAACTGGAAACCTGCCTGTAATGAGTCTCATTAATGGCAGCATAGATATACGAATAGTAGGCAATCTCAGTTGATGTGGCACAGCCAAATGTGAATTGCATCAACTGCATCAAGACAATTCCCTGACCCCAAAGCAACACAATCCAGGTGGTGACGTAACTCAGGGCCTCAAAAATAATGACCACTTTATACCGAAGAAAGTCTGTAAAAAGCAAAACAAGAACTAAAGTGACCAGGTAACTATATGTCCACACTGGATAAATTTCATTGTTCACCTGTTCAATTGTCAGGTTTTTCCACTCTGGTGCCATCAGATAGGCCGTGATGTACGATTCGGATGGGCGAAAGTCTTTGAAGACACCAAAGCAACAGATAATGCCTGTTGCAATTCTCCAATCCATTTTAATGTTTTACAAAAGCTGAAAAACAGAAATAGCAAACATGGTAGACAGTGACAATGAAAAATGACAGAAAAATGACAAAGGTTGCAATGATAAAATGAAGAAACGAGACACAAATTCAAAAAAGGAATCATAAAATGAAAGAATTAAATTTCAAACAAAACAAAATTTATGTGGCTCATTTACAATTCCATCATTATTATTGTTATTTACTAAGTTTAGATAAGTTTGGCACAAGGCCAGGAGAGTAGCGCTCGGTGAGGATTAAACTAATAAACCAGCCTGCAGATCAAGACTATTAGTCATTGCACTACAGTAGGCACCCCTTAAAAATCATGTATGTAGCTTGATATGTGATTATAAACAAAATTTGATCTGAAATTTTCAGTGTTTGATATTCAAGTATGGTGTCTATTTATAAGATCTGCTGAATGTTCAAACCTATAGATTTAAAAAAAAAAAAAATGAAAACAGCTGTTATGAAATATGAAATTATATATTCATTAACTAAATACTAAGATTTCTTCATTATTTAGTTAATAGCTTTATAATTTCATAACAGATGTTTTCAGTCTTTTTTTTTTCTTTAAAGAAAAGTCACCCACTGAACACAACATTATGTCGAGTAACAACAATGAATCCATTTTTGCCTTATCATCTTACGGCGGTTCCAATAAAAAAAAAAAAAAAAGATTTTATAGTTTCAAGTACTATCTTCAATGTGAAAGCTCTACCACTGGAAGTGGTGGACAAAGTCACAGATATTTGAGACTGTTCCAGAAATTAATCCAAATGACACTCTCAAAGCAGTGATAATGAAGAGAATGGATAGTCCCAAAGAAGACATTCTCCAAGAAATTTTTAACAACATTGGACACATGATGAGGCACCTGGAACAAAATTCAAGGTCCCAGAAAATACTGCAACAACTGTGTGGTTGGATAAACTCCCTATTAATACTACTACTACAGCACAAATTCTAGTGCCAATCTGTAAATGTCATATCACTAGATAAGCTAGATGATGCAGCAGACAGTATATGCAAGGGAAATGGTTAAAGAATAAATACACTTGCCAACATAGACAAATGCAAAAGTGATAAAATTCATCAAATGAAGGTCAAACTGTTACAGCCTCTCATATTTCAAAACAGTAGACCCAGGAGTTGCTACCTTTTCACAAACAGCCCCCCCCCCACGAGCTCAAGTAGATAAAGGCAACAAAATAGACAACCCCATAATAGAGAATGCTGGTACTACTCCACATTTGGCAAAAATGCCAAGAAATGCACTACTTCATGCAATTTCAAAGACCCAAACACCCAGGGAAACTTCCATTCCAGACATTAATGATAATGACAGTAACTATAGTCATTTGTTGTTTGTTCCATATAAGGAATAAAACAGTGGCTACACATTCTTTATCAACACTGGAGCCGAAATGAGTGTTATTCCACCCCCACGAGAACAAATTTATAGAGGACTGTAGGTTATCAGTTATGGAGGAGTTATTTATCTTATGACAGAGTGTTTAAATATACAAAATAAATCTTTATGTATCACAATATAATAATACAGAAGGATAAGGTGACAGTTGAACATTCAAGTGTTCAAGTATAAAAGTCCAGATGTATAACAGGTCAAGAGATAGAGAAAGAGTCTGGAAGAAAATAAATATGTATTTTTGCATGTATCTAAATTAGCCATTGTGGTGAAGGAAGACGTGTTGGTTTTTCAATGTTACAAGGATGGTTTAGCTGTCTAAGGTCTCCAGCTAGTCATGCAAATGTCATATGTTGTATTTCATTTCTAGTTATGTTGTGATAACCACAGCATCAGAAAATGGAGAAAATTAATTTATCAATTCTAGTTTTGGTTGATTTTCCATCTGTTTATGTACACATCTATAAATCCACTTTGAAAGTGCCACTGCTTCTCATTGCCTCATGGCCATATAGCTTGTTTATGAAAATTTTCTAATTGGTTGGTCAAACTACCTATTTTTAGAGATGGTAAAATTTTGATCTTGTTATTTGTTTATTTCTTACATGTGGATTGACAAAGTTTTCTGATTGTTGGTTGAACTTAGGTTTTGTTTGCCTGGTGATTTTTAATATCTGTTTATTTTTAGAGATTGGGAAATTTTGGTCTTGTTTTTTTTTTTTTTTTTTATTTCACTATCACCACAAATTAACTTCTTCAACATTTCAACTGTAAACAGTAAATGATTTTTAAATCCAGTCTTATATTAAACAAGAACTCACTCTAAACCTCAAACTGCACCAACATTTTACTTGGATATTTATGCAGACAAATGAAGATCCCTATACTAGGAGCTGTTTCTTACACACTATAAATAATGAAATGAAATAATGCATAATGAAAACCTCTCAGATAATATGATCAAAGTGAGAGAAAACAAGTCCAGTTCAATTCCACGGGAATTACCCAAAACTTAATCAACTCTTCAATAGCAAAATGGTTAATCATGATACCAAAAATATATTAGGACCACAGGACCTTCTGTCTCTTCTTCTCCCCACCAATTATCACCAGAAAATATGCATATGCCAAGGAGGAATTCTAACAAATGCTTAAGACTGGAATCATCCAACTGTTGGAAAGTCCACATGCTTCATCCCTAAATCTGACTGAAACTCATTCAGCATGTGTGTGTGAACTACCAATGACTCAATAACAGTACACTGCTATCCTGTTCTGCATATTTTCACCTTAGGATGGCAAGGTATGATTATATTTTCTAAACTGAATCTGACAAAAGCATCCCACAAGATACCAGTTACTCATGAGGATATCTCAAAAATTGCAGTTACAATGCACTTTGAACTTTTTTCAATTCCAACAAATGCCTTTTGTCTGAAAAAATGCTACCCAAGCTATCCAGCACCTGATAGACAAAATATTAAGAGAACTGCCCAATGTGCATGCAGGCACTGACACTGTAGTCACTGCAGTCAAGATAAGGTACAACACATAACCCACTTGTATCAAGTTCTACACAGATTAGCATAGAAAGACTGAAAAATAAATGTAGAAGTGCATATTTAGTGTTGATCAATTGCAATTTTGAAGTCATCAAATTGACAAAAAGTGGAATTGCTTCCCTAACAGTAGAGGTAGAGGCAGCATACAAATTCCAAATTTGAACCTCAGTTTGATAGTTGCGACATTTCATAGGGTTCATCAATTAGTGCCAAAGGTTTATCCCAAATTTCTTTATATTGTTAACGCTGATAAATATATCCTGCAGGACAAAATGAAAAGACAGAATTAGACTTCCTCACTTGATGCAAAAAAAAGCAATGAATGCATTCAACAGAGGTGAGTCTGCACTGAACAACTTTGCAAAACTCTTCACTCACCAACGAAATTCAAGCAAAATTGACTTTTACTACTGATGCAGGCACATAGACATCAGAAGATAGATAATAGTAAGAAACCTTATATGTCTATATTCTCTACCAAACTCAGTCCCAAACAAAGAATTATTTTGAAATTAAACACTTCAAGCACACACTCAAGGGCCAATACTTTACAATTTATACTAACTCTTAATACAAACTTGGTCTTCACATTGACAAGTACACACTTCAAGGAACTTGTTACCTGGACTGTATATCACAGTTCTCTAAAATATAATTGAAGATAACCAAAACACTGTTGCCGACTCACTCTCTCAAATAGATACACATTCTATCACCCAAGATATCATCAGTCACAACTTAATTGCCCAAGAGCTAAGAAATAAAGCAAACATCTTTACACCTAACAAAAGTGTCAATAGAATTTATTGAAAAACAGTGTATTGTGATACTGGATAACCAATTCTTAGAATTTAGATCCCATCATCACTGCAACAACAAATACTCACACACTTCAGCAAGAGAACAATGCTGAAGTTCATTTATGAAAGATTTCTTTGATGTCAGTTGAACAAAAATATTAGACTATGGACAAGTAATTATACAGACTGTCAGCATTGCAATGTTTACAGTCACACCAGGTCAAGTAGAGGGACATTTAATAATCCCAATGCTTGATTTTCACACTTATATGTCAACATCATGGGACCTATACCAATCTGTCAAAACTTTACATATTTACTAACAGTTATTTTCTCATTGGCTGAAACCAGTTGCAATAAAAGATATTTCAAATGACACCATTGCAAAAACAATTCCCAGATACTTGATCACCATATACAGTGGACCTAATGTCATTATAATCAACAGAGACACATCATTTCAGTTGAACCTTTTCAGAGAATTCTACTTTCTACTAGGCACCAAGCACATCAACAACAGCTGCATGTCAGAGTGGAAAATTTTCATGGTCAACTTAAAGCATCTGAAACAATGAAACTGAACAAAGAAATTTGGGTTGATAATTTGTCTCTAGTTCTCTTGTCAGTTAGGAAAATCATCAAACAAAACTTACGCTGTACATCAGCTGAATTTGTCTTTGGCACAACACTGTGTCTGGATAGTATTTTGACAAAAACAATGATATACATTCTACATCATCCTTTGTACAAGATTTAAAATGATATCCAAAATACAGTTTACTCCAGCACATCTGACAAACAGACAATGGTACATCCTTAAAAATAAATCTCTTTGACAATGAATAAGTGTTTGTGCGTAATGATGCTCATAGGGGGCCATTGCATCCTGCATGTCAGTCCATATAAAGAAATAAAGATGATCAACAAACATTTCACTGTGCAGAAAAATGGCAAAAATGACAGTTACTATTGAAAGACCTATATCGGCATCAGTAACAAAAACACTCACAAAGATTCAAACACCAATGGGACCAACTTTGAAACTATAAAAAAGAATGACCCACAAGAAACAGCTAGATCGCAACAACCAACCACACCAAAGATAGAAGCATAATCTGTTCAAAAGAGATCATCACACTTCAAGACCTAACTCATCGATGACTAATTTGCCATCAATTTCTTTCTTTATAAAAAAAAGTCTCAACTATAGAACA